ACTCCCCCATCACTGCTGCCTCATTCCCCTTCACAGACCCCTCACTGAGCCCTCACTCCCCCCTCAATGCTGGTCTTCTTTGGCCTTACCGAGGATGTGAAACGGGGTCACACCCAAACGTTGCTGACTCCTTTATCCAGAGCTTTGGGTGGAAATATTCAGCAATTGGCCAATAGGAAGTAGATTCCATCAATCAGAGAGTCTGACTGGGTGACTGTGAAAATGAGGTTATCTAAGGTTACAAAGTGATCCTAAATAGTTGGGCTAATGGTCTGAGGAATGGCAGATGGATTTTAAGTTGGATAATAGTGAGGTATTGCATTTTGGTAAAACAAAAACAGGCAGCAAAAGTTTCTATAAGTATGTAAAACGTCAAAGAGTGGCGAAGGTAAACATTGGTCCTTTAGAGGATGAGAAGGCCAATTTAATAACTGGGAATGAGGAAATAGCTGAGACATTAAACAGTTATTTTGTGTCGGTCTTCACAGTGGAAGACACAAATAACATGCCGAAAACTAATGGCAAGAAGGTTATAGCAGGTGAGGACCTAGAAACTATCATTATCACTAAGGAGGCAGTGCTGGGCAACCTAATGGGGCTAAAGGTAGACAAGTCTCCTGGCCCTGATGAAATGCATCCCAGGGTACTAAAAGAGGTGATGGGGGAAATAGCAAATGCACTAGTAATTATTTACCAAAATTCACTGGACTCTGGGGTGGTTCCCGCAGATTGGAAAACAGCCAATGTGATGCCACTGTTTAAAAAAGGAAGTAGGCAAAAAGCAGGTAACTATAGGCCAGTTAGCTTAACTTCGGTAGTGGGGAAAATGCTTGAATCTATCATTAAGGAAGAAATAGCAAGACATCTGGATATAAATTGTCCCATTGGGAACACCCAGCATGGGTTCATGAAGGGTAGGTCATGTTTAACTAATTTGGTGGAATTCTTTGAGGACATTACTTGCATGGTGGACAATGGGGAGCCTGTGGATGTGGTGTATCTGGATTTCCAGAAGGCATTTGACAAGGTGCCACACCAAAGGCTGCTACATAAGATAAAGTTGCATGGTATTACAGGTAATGTATTGGCATGGATAGAGGATTAGTTGACCAG